TAACTTATTTGTACAGGTATATATTTTTATATATACCCATGCGAATAAGCTTTTAAAAAAAGCATGAGTTGTTATATGAGACTCATATAATATAATTATATTTAACACATACCGAGATTTAATATATTTTGTATTACCAATGCATTAAATTTTGGGGTTTGATGATAAACTTGGTCATTGTTTAAAAGACTTTGAAGAAATTTATCATATTTATTATTAGAAGCTGACATAAGATAATTTGCACTGAGTCCTGCTTTAATAAAAATTGTGGCAGGGCAGGCGGTTATATGAAGCAATTCAATTAATCGCCATGCTCCTGCCCAATATCTTCTTTTATGCCGATTACTAATTCCGAAAAGTTCTTGTATTTTTTTACTTATGAGACCACGTAGAACTTTATAGCTCAGAAATTTGCTATTTGCTTCTTAGTATTTCATCGCGTAAATTATAGCAAGTGATATATAAAGTCTACGTAATTTAACCAACATATGCAACCTTGCTTCCTCAATAGTATGTTTTGCTGAACCAAGTTTTTCAAATAAAGAAACCCAACTTTTAAAAAAAGCATAAATTGAATCAGTATCTTTATTTAAAAAACCTGGTAATTCTATTTGTTGATTAATGGTAACTTCCTCATCGTTGAGAAATAGACGTTCAAAATCTTTCGTAAGAAAACTTTTAACTAAATTATTTAAAAAAAGTTGATTTTCTGTAATCAACTCTTCTTGAGTAGTTTTCAGAAAATTTTTCTTCAAATTCTGAGCTTTATCATCTTGCCCAATACTACTTATATCTAGAAGATTGTTTAACATAATTAAAATTTTAATAAACTTAAATTAAATATATATTAAAACTTACCATTTGGATCTTCAATTGTATTATTTGATGGTAATTCTGCATTATTATCATCTGATATGTATATAGGAGATTGTGCCTAAAAGTATACATAGTATATATATTAAATTATGTACAGTATAAGAATTACTTTTATATATAGATTTAGATAAGCTAAAAATAAAAATTTTTTACATTTTTATTTGATCGTTCAAACATATCTAATATAATTAATTAAACTAAATTAATTTTTATAAATTAAATTAATAAAACAATATTAATAGATAAGATAAACTATACTTTTTAAATTTGGGAACGATATATGACTAGGAATAAAATCTGATGAACTTTCACGATCATTTTTACGATTATTTTCACTATCATCTTCACCATCTTAACCATCTTCACGATCATCTTCATTTTCACTATTTTTACGATCACCTTCACAATCACCTTTACGATCATCTTCACGATCATCTTCACGATTTGATACATGTATATACTATAGAAAAAGTAAATCAATTTATTATTGCTATTTATAAAATGGTAGAAATAACAAACAAACTTTTTTTGTGAATATTGCGAATATTTGAATATTCAAAATAATAACAATTACTATATATATGTAGACAATTTGAAATCGATTTTTGATCAATATAATTATCAATGCAGTTAAGTATTTAAGTGTTCATGATACTCATCAAAAAAAATTTTTGCTAATTATTTTCAATCATTTCAAAAAGTGATAAATTAAACAAAACAAAAAAAATATATTTATATACCTTTTGCTTTGAAATTTTATTATTTTCATAATTAGATTCTGAAGTTTTACGTTTTAATAGGTTAATACTTTCTGCTTCACTACGCTATTTATTAATATCAATTTTTGACTTTAATATATTTAATATAT